CAAGGGTCAGGTAGATGGCAATCAGTAGTGTAATCTATATTCAAAAAAGATTTAGACAAACTAAATCAATCAATTACAAGGCTCTCAGTATAGGTGGCATTTAGCTATATAGTATCATAGCCCAGGGCATGTGGTGTACAAATAGAGCACCACAGTTTGACTAGCCAATTAGGGCTGAGGAGGCAGACCAAGCAGCACCAAAGGCACTGGTCTCCTGCCTAGGGGTGCCTGCATAATTTTGGTGATGAGGTTTATCTACTCTTCACCATGTGGAGAGAAAATGCTACCATTTTTACAGTCTGTGTTTCTTTTCTGGTCATTATTGATATTCATTTTATTTTGAGTAGTAATAAAACTAGCATTGGCTTCACATGAGAAAAGTACATTTCATTCTTTATTTTTTCATTTATTATTACAACTTGCTGGTTATGCTAATATAATGAAAGCTATAGTTATAATGAATTACCTCTGGTCAGGTGTTTTACCTGTGCAAATCACTGTGCAAATCACTTCTATTTACTGTGCACAATTTATATATTTGTATATGTCAGCTAGCACTGTGCTTCTGGGGCTGTGGCTCTAATACAGGGAAGCAGTCGTGTCATATATCAGCTCCTCTTCTACCCTTGTCTAATCACAGAACACCTTGTATTCTGTGAGCCATGCTCTCTATTTCTCCTAGAGACTTTGAGGATGGGAAAACCAAGATTTTAAATTTGTCACTACAAAAACCTTCCCATGGGGACAAAACTGTTTCACAACTGTGTAAAAAGGGCTTATTTTTTCTTTGAATATATTTCCTTGTACTTCTTTTTAGGTTGCTGGGACATAAAATGAAGGGGAATAACCCCAATGGAACAAAGTACCAACAAAAAAAGCAATAACAAGGTTTTTAACTACTCCATACTCTATCCAAAACTGCTACATAAAGTTATGTAAACAGTCTTTTTAGGGATGGAAAAGCAGTCATAGAAAGACTCAAATACTTATCTGTCTTTCAACAAATTCTGTTCCTGCTCCCATTCAGTGCTGGTTACAAGTTTCAAGGCCTAGGCTCAAGTGATCACCATTGAAAGAAAAGATTAAAGTCCAGGTTAATGGTGCTCCCTTTGCAGAAAATGTTTCCAGACATGAGGTCATACCTGAAGGGAACCTGCAGCAGTATTTTCTCCAAAAAACAGATAAGCTGGTTTTTTATTTATTAATTCCAACAAGAGTGTTAACATGGCTCATTTGAGTACAGGTCAATATTAAAGTATGTCTAAAGCCAAAGCTTTCTTCATTCCAAAAGAGGTGGACATTTTTTTTTTTTAAAAGGGGAATTATGGGGAGAGTGAAATACACTCATCCTCATAATTAGAGCTGACTTGTGACGTCGGCTCTATTGATCAAGAACTGAGCAGTCACATACTGCCGACCACTCAGTTCCCGATCATCTTGAGCGATGAACTGACTGGAGGAACCGACAGCGGAGGGAGCAGGCACAGCTGGCTTTGCTTTTAGAGAGATAGAGCCAACTGTCAATTAGGTAGCAGGGTGAATCCCGACAATATTGTTGGGATCCATATCGGCTGCAGCATGGCTCTGCGCTGTCAGCCTATAGCAGGCAATAGCCTGCTATATGCTTAATTTTGGGTCACAGGAGGACATTAGTATATGTTCTCCTGTGACCCTAAAGAGAACTCTGGCAAAAAAGGTTGGGCCATTGTTCTCTTTTAAATACATTGTTTGCAAATGTCTTTTAAATGTTGTATTCCATATATATTAATCTCCCTGTATGAAGCCAGCCATCAGGGCCTTTTTCAGAGCATTTGGGAGTTTTGTAACCCCCTGTTGGCAACTCAGCTTCAAAAAGAGGCTGTGTGGGCAAAATGTATTCTAGTGCACAAAAATCCAAAACGTGGACTCTAGTACATCACTCTAGTGTCAGTAAGTACATCACTCTAGTGTCAGTATAAAAATACTATTTCTCCATTGGTCCTAACAATAATTAATAAAAAATAAAAGTAAGGGGCAGTGTCTTTCAAAAGTCATGAAAGCACAGACCTGCTAGTCATGCTTACCCCCTTTTCCCCCTTAGCATTAAATCCCATGCACATGGCATGGAGGCCAAAGGCTTTCTCTTTTGCCGATAGAAACTGCTGCCAGGAAACTCCCTGAGGTTACAATTCAGGGTGCAGGCTAAATTATTTCAGTGTAGGAACGTGCTTAATTATATGGATTACTGAATAAATTGTCAAGTGTAAGGAATTATTCTGATAAATTAAAATACTAATTAAACAGGCTGTTGCAGAATTTTGAGAACATTATAGGGTTCCGCTTCTCCAGGCAATTTGCATATCCTTCATCTATGAATTTAATTTTGAAGGGCTTCATTTTTATATTTCAAAACCCCTTTGTTTCACATAAATACAGAATGAAGGTCTTACGGTGGCCACTGCTTTCAGTGTTCCAAATGAGTTCTACTTTTATTGGGAGAAAGAAATTAAATTTTAAAATGTTTTTTTTCCTCTATTCAGGATAAATTGTAGGCAGGCAATTTCCGAAAGAGGTGGAAGAGATTTGATTTTAAATTAATGAGAAGAATCTCCGACTTATTTTACTTTGTACTTAATCTTTAGAAACGCCTAGAAATATTTTTTTTTCTCATTTTTTTTCTTTTTGCTTATTTTACTTATAGTGAAAAAAAATCAAGCAACTATAAAAAAAAAGCTTGTTTAATAGGTGTTGCAAAGAGCATTGATAATGTGCAAAGTGAATTAGTCGTTAGCAGCCAATTTAATTTTATCCTATTGTGGTCAGAAAGGGAAATGATGACAAAAGATTTTTGATGGGTTGTTATGTTTTTTTTTCATCTGACTACTGTAATTTACATTGCCTTATTAATTAAGTCTGTATGCTTTTGTATGGTATTATTAAAGTGCTGGGCAAAGTAACAGGCGCACTTTACTGGCACTTTACTGGAAAAGAATACCTGTTGCTTTCAAGTATGGGGAGAATGTGATTTTCTCTCTCTCTTCCCTCCCACTTGACAGTGCTGGTGCTTGGTGATTGACCACTCAGGCACACTGCTGTGTCACATGGGGGTAAGGAGAGAGTCCTTAGCCCTGTGTAAACTTATGTTATGCTCTAAGTTATGCCTTATGTTATGACTTAAGAAGTCTTTTCACTCCCAGTGGTAGAACAGCTATAGAGTACAAGTAAAGTGAGTAAAAGCAGCTGGTGATGTTGCTATTAAAGGTAACCTCTGCTGGTAACAGAGAAACATACCCCTTAATTCCAAATATGGGGAACATGTGACTTTCTTCTCTTCCTTCCACATGACAGTGCTTGTACTTGGGGACCGGCAACTCAGCATAGTGTGTTTGTATATTGAGCTATTGGGCTCTATAACCAACAGGATTTTTTTTAGCAAATAACTTCTGATCATGTCTTCATTGCTTCGTGTGTGTTCCTGTCCCAGTGGCCACTACACCCCTATTCTTGTATGGTCATCACAGACTGTCATCACAGTCATCACTTAATCATAACAATTAAGAAACTCTTCCTAAAAGAATCACAGACAGATATAAACTCCTGGCAGAAATGTTAACTTTTCCCACTCTGTCTAAATGTTTTTGGCTGGAGTTAGAGTTTAGAGAGACACTGTCACCTTGCCTTTTTGAGGGCAAAATTATAGTGTCTTTGTAAATGGCCCTTAAACCCTGACACTCACCTTGCTAGTTCTCCCTCACTGCTCCCATCATAACTGGCATTAAAATCCTCATTGTCAGATGGTGTTTGGACACTAAAGGGAGTGTTGGCTTTACCCCCTAGTCATGTGACAGTCCTCTGGAGTAAGATGAGATTTTCTTCTAGACTTGATCAATGTTATATGGGAGCAAGTCACATTATCCCCCCTGGAGATACAGGGACTTAACCAATCCCTCTAACATTCGCATGGGAATCATTCAATCACTGTATCTGTGTTTCCTTTTTATGGCAATGCACCCGTATGCAAACTATCCAAGTATCTTGAAACAGGACACTAAAAAGTTTGGATCCAAGTAAATACTTCATAGAGTACTTGACAGTAATTGAAAGAATTACCCATTTTCTAAGAATGCAGATTTGTTTGTTTATGACCAGACCAGCAAGATTTATTAAATGCAACTGTATTTGGGACCAGGACAAAACTCCTTTTAATCCTAATGAAAATGTGTGTTCGAGCAACCGATGTGGTCAACATCTGTATTTTAGTCTGCATATTTTAGGACACTGCTGATCAAGTTGCCATTATCTAGGCCTTGTGAAGCATATCACTGTTGTTATGGTGGTTACATTAAGCCTATGATCTGGATCTGCTTAGAAGGTATTATGCATGTGTACAGCAGATGCTAATGGTCTGACACAGCTTCCGTGAAGGTGTTAGGACATTAATAGCTTGGAGACTCTGCATATTTTCTGACATGCTAATCACACTAGCTGACTTTCAAGCTTCGGCAAATTTTTTTTCCTTTACCCCTGTGAAAAAGGATTTCCAGAGCACTAGGTTACCTTTTCCTAAGAGACACCTCCAACTAAGTCTTATAGTAAGGGATGAGTTATTGCTGCGATGGCCTAGTCCAGCTTTGTAAACATCTGGCTTTTTCAGTACAGCTATAAGATGAAATAACCAAGTTTGTAAAAGGGCCATCTGTTGGCTGCTCAGAAGACTACATAATATCAATGTGACATTTTACATTTACCCTACTTAAAGAAAAATAAAATAATCTTTTTTTGTCTAGTCCTTTATAAAGTAAATAAAGAAAAAATGTACAGAACAACTATACATTCCCTTAAAAATCCTGGAAAAATTAATTACTGTATTAACTGTAGGCCTGGGTATTAAATATAATTGGAGTGATGGCTGCTTTATGAACCTGATATAGTAGGCATGTCATAATGCAAATACAGTTTGTTGTTAAAACTCTATAAAAGTTCTACTGTCAGGTAATATTTTCCTTTTATTTTGTTTATAGCTTCCAATAAAGACAAGTTGGAGAAAAGCACTGGACTAAAGATCCTGCAGACAGGAGTGGCAGAGGTAGGATCTCATGTTATATAACTTTCTTATACACTACTTGCTGTATACAAGAGATGATAATACAGTGCCTTTACAGTTGTACCTGTTTCTCATAGTAATGGAAGCATCCATTTTCTTGGCTAGACTAAAGAAATATTGGGCCACTCACTCTGGCCTTTGACCAGAACTCCCAGGGACTGGTGTGCAAGTTATTATATTCTCCTGAAATGCATAAATAGATGTTTTATTATATCTTATGCCTCAAATAAAGTTGACCTTTAACATTCAGAGACTTTGCTGAGCTCTGCTTGTCCAATTATTTTGTTGCTAGGACCAGTGTTCCAGAAAATGTATTTTGTTAATTTAGGAATCAGTTATATTACTGATGAACAATGTCAGAATGTGTGACATTTGCCCTGCCTGTCATATACTATTGTCTAGTCTCTGTGTATCTCTTCTGTGATGATCTCTTTAGTATGGTCTGCACACTGTGATACCGTCTTCTGTCTCTGTTAGACTAGAGGTTCTATGTGCATCACTGTGCCGTGACATTATACCAGTTTCAGTAGAAGTTCCAGTGCTCTCATGGCAGTGGCTCGTCTCCAAATCCAAGGCAGTGGCTAGTCTCCAAATCCCATTCTCTAGTTCTCCAGTCCATTCAGCTTCACAGTGAATGGCAGATATAGTGTGGCCCAGGAGTTAGAAAGTACTTTAAATTAACTATTAAATGTATTGCTATGGTGCCATGCTATTTCATGGTACTTTACACAGTACATAGAACCATTTATATTAGTCTTTGCACCAATTGAATGCTTCTGGCAGCATCATAGAGGCATGCACACACTCTGGAGCTAGTTTGGTCAGAGGCTATTTAAGGATGTTTTTAGATAGACTGAAGCTCTGTCTTACAAAGTTCCAACTCTTCTCCACTCTGTCAAAAATGGTGTTGATTTATTGATCTTCACTATTAATATAATCATTGTTGTAGTGCAAAAAAAATTAATCCTGGTAATCCCTAAACTGTGTTGCACATCTTTGCAGTTCTAAACCCTTGATTTATAATATACCAGGGAACCAGTCTGCATGGAGTTTGCATGTTTTTCTGCATTTGTGTGGGTTTCCTTCAGGTGCTCTGGTTTGCTGCCATCAAATCTGTGCTAGCTGATTACAAGTGAAAAATTGTTGGGACTGTCCTGAACTCCAGCGCTCTGAGGAGGGTGTTCACACACGCACAATTCTATGTATAGGCAGGGGGTGGGGGCGGTGTGCAGCTTTCTAGTGGTACGGACCGGGGTGTCCGACCTGTGTATGCATGAAGCAAAAAAGGGAGGAAAGGAAGCACCACCACCAGGGGAAGAAATGGTGAGTGTTTGGTACTCACCATTGATTAAGGGACACGCTTCTCTCAAGCCCAGCACAACTCAGCTGACTACATAGGTCTTCAAGATCTCCACCATCACAACACCGATGACATCGCATCTACCCTTACTTAACGGTGAGTCTCTACGCGCCATCCATTGTGCGTGATTTCTCACCTCTCCATTATTCTCCACTTGTGTTCCCGCTGACCCCCCACCACCTAAACCAGGAAGGACCACCCCCGATCGCTTCCACATCACCGCCAAGCCTGCCGGATAGCTCCAACAATCCATGAGGGTTCCTTAACCGAACACTCACCATTTCTTCCCCTGGTCGTGGCGCTTCCTTTCCTCCCTTTTTTGTTTCATGCTAGTTGATTACAGCTTACCTCCAGGCAAAATCCATTTTTTTTCCCCAAAGGAGTGAATGCCTTTTACCTAAGTGTCCATGCACTGCTCATGTAATGCTTTCTTCTCCTGCCATCCTTAGTGTAATTTATCCTCCAGGAAGTAAGAGCACAGCACTTCCTGTTGAGCTGCCCGGTCACCTCTGCATGCTCTGTGTGTGTTGGGTGACTGGTCTCCTAAATGTACCTTTTTGTTTCTCTTCAGGCTGTGCTCACATACTGATGTCAGCACCGCCTGTCTCTGTGGACCTAGCATCTGTGCACCTAGCTCCATTCAGAGTCTATTACAACCAACCACTCCTGATTCTCCCTTCAGACACCATCCACCACTCTAACTGGCCTCCCAAGAGAGCTAAATGCTAAGGTTAATGTAGTTTTGTAGCGTGCCCTACATACAAACAGATGTGACACAGGGAGGGCTTCAGAATCCTCCTCCTGATGGCCTAAGCATTAAGCATGTTTGGCCAGTGACTGGTGACATCACTGTTCACCATAATCGAACATTACATTGCTTTGAAGCAATGTGGGCGGGAAATTCTTTGTGCAGACTACAGTACAGAGGCCAATGAAGGGTGGGGAGCAAGAAAAGACTGAGCCTAGAGATGAGCTTTCACTGGCACTTCTCTAAATTGGCTTTAGAGTGTATATGAGTATGATAGGGACATCAGATTATGAACTTCATCCTGAGAAGGAAATTATGTAAACAGTCTTATGTACATTGTAAATCTCTGCGTACTATGTCAGCATTGTATAAATAAGGCGCATTAAATAAATTAATATTAAATTATTTTGCAAGATTTGTCAAACACATTCTAATCTTTATAAAGCAGTTCTTATAAAATGTCCACAAATTAGTTTCTAGCCCATCTTAAATTAGAGCAGTGAAAAAAGAAATTATTTCATTCCTCGTTAACACATGAATAAGCAGATACAGTCAGTTTCTAGCAAACAATAACAGGATTATCTCAAGAACTGTCACTTTACTGGAAAACACAGCGCTGCCCAAATTTTCATAAAAACACAACAGTGGATAGAATTCAAGATCAAGAGTGTGAGGGCGATGGGAAATCTGCATTTGCGGCAATAAATATTCAAATTTGTCTGCTCAGGAGATGGAAATCTAATCAAGGGTCTATTGATGCACTCACTAGCCTGCCTTAGCCTCTCTCCCTTTTTTTTTAGCAAGGCGTTTCATCTAAATTGGGTTTGATATGGAAATTTGTCTCTCTCTCCAAGCCCTTCTGGCCACGAGCATGGTGGGGTACCAGCAGAGGTATCCAGGACATCCGATGCTGCTATTGGTTGCTTCTGTTATAAATGGAATAAAAGCCAAAACAAAAGGAGAAAATCACGAATCACAGCTCGATGGTCAGAACTGCAATTAACTCTTCCAGTGCTTTTTAAACATGACGATCGTCCTTTGCAGTTTTATTTCCCCTAGTCTGTTACTTTTTGAAGATGTTTTCAAATAAAAATAAAAATCTTTGTGCTGAACTCCGGTTAGATAAAAAAAAGAATTTATGTATATATTAAAACACCCTTCAATTAATGTTTGAATACAGCAGAGTTATAAATAGCAGAATCTCTTGTTATATGAATTTCCTATGATGCTTTGCATAGAGGGGGTGGTAGACGTATGAATGAATCAGAGTGTATTGTACTGCACAGTGCTGCCAGTCTAACAGTGGGAGGTTGTTGTCAGGAGGAAAGAGCAGTGTACACAGGGATGAACTTATCAGTCAGCCAGCTGATTTGGTGACCAAACTGTTACTTAGTGTTACAATCCAGTCATATCTGAAAGTGAAGTCTTGAGATACACACAAAGTTTAGTAGTTTAGTTTTTCCCCCACTCTCTTTTGATGGAATTTGCCAATCTTAGCCCATGCCTGCTTGTGAAGCTGTAACACGTTCTGCAGACTTCTTGCTGCCTCTCACACACAGAAAGCCTACTATGAAACTAACAATACTAAGATGTTTCCAATACATTTTTGTAAGATCTGAACATTCATTTATTTTAGCACAATTGCAACGTTTCCTAGTTTGCATTCATTGAATGATTTAATTTGTTGCCTGACATTGCTAACAGTAGTGGTGAAGGTGAGGTTGTATACCTTGCTATGTAGTCTGGCAGGAATGTTTGAATCACAAGGATGGATAGTAATATTTCATATACGCAGTGGCGTAACAATCACCATAGCGACCCAGGTGGCCGCTATGGGGCCCGGGGCACAGGGGGGCCCAGCCAGGACAACCCCCTGATGCTGTGCAGGCCGCGTGGGTTGCTATGGCATTTCAGGCTGGTGGCTGTTACTGGCGGCTGTGAGGAGGAACGCGCCGCTATTCACATGTGCAGCGGCGCGTTCCTCCTCGCAGCCGCTGCTGAGTCAGTGACAACCAGCAGCTTCGGAGGAGGTGGCTGAGCCCGTCGTCAGCAGTGATAGAGGAGGTGGGACCCAACGATCGAGGAGGTGGGGCTTAGTAATGGGGGAGGTGGGACCCGGTGATCGAGGAGGCGGGGCCCAGTGAAGGAGGAGGCGATCGTGGAGGAGAAGGATCGTGGAGGAGAAGGAGGCGGACAGAGGATCGGAGCAGACAGCTAAGACGGCTTGACCGCCCCCCTGAGACCCTGCAGAGCCCACCATAGAGAGTTTATGGTGGGCTCTGCAGGGTCACCCTCAGGTGGGCGGTTTGGGTTATCAGGTGGGCTTAACTAGAAATCGCAGGGCCCCATACAAAATTTTGCTATGGGGCTCTGTGATTTCTAGTTACGCCCCTGCATATACGTATATATATGGAATTCATCTGGATTTAGCATTTTATTTGCAGTACAGATTTAAAATTCAAGTTAATCTTTACCTGTACTGTTTGCTGTACAATCCTTCTCTATTTAATTATTTCTCTATTTAATTATGTTTCTTTATGTTTTTCATGTTAATCCACTTACAGTTTTACTAGCTGCAATGGGGTTGATTTACTAAAGAAGTAGAGGTTGCTTACCTAGCAAATGAATGTTAGTGAATAAGGTGATGTGTTATTTTAAATACCCAAACATGTGCTAGTCAAAGTCCTGTTTTTTTTCATTTCCCTCTATTGCACTCTGCCGGCCCAGGACTTTTAAAGTCAGAAGCACGCAGTCAGTATTTGTATAGTACACCACTTTCCTAATAAGTGTGTGGTCTTTTTAAAGCAATTTAGCTGGCCAGCGACTGCCAGAGGTTCCCGACACGCATGGCACCTCTGGCAGTTGCCGGCCAGC